AAAAAAGACTCCCAACACTCCCTCTAGTGGTCACTGTAATCAGATTATTGCATATGCAGTATTCTTGTGTGCTTTTGAGTTGCTTCCAACCCTAAGGCGACACCATCACAGGATTTTCTTGACATGATTTGTTCAGAGGGGGTTTGCCTTTGTCTTCTCTAAGGCTGAGAGGGTGTGACTTTCCTGAGGCCATCCAGTGGGTTTCCATGGTGGAGCAGGGATTTGAATGGAGCAGGGATTTGAACCCTGATCTCCAGAGTTATAGTTGAAAGCTCTAACCATTACACCACTCTGGCCCTTGCAGTCTAAGACAATATTATTGTTATTGGGGTTAGCATATAACAAACACGTGAGCCTGGTAAGTAAAAAGTGCTGCTTTTGTAGTGCTCAGATCTCTCTGACAAGATTTCCCCATGTGTTTGTGCGCGCGCGCACACACACACCTCTCTGTATTAAAATATACATTCTGTGAATCATTGAAGCCTTTCTTTCTTTCATAACATGGTATCTTGTTTTTTTTCAGAAGTAATGAACAGAGAAGAGGCACATGCAACTGGTAAATCTAAATGGTTGAAAAGAGGGGGCGGGTTGTCTTGAATTTTGTGGTATTTCATTCTTCTAACATGTATTGTGTTAGTTATTTGTCTGGGAGAAAAGCTTAACATTGTTCCATCTGTCATGGTCTGGCTGATTATCTTTCATAAAGAACTTCAAGTGTGAAAAAGAAAAAAGAAATCCTTTCTTGCATTCCTTACATGTCGGTTTTGGTTTTTGTTGCCTACCAGGGGTGTAATTATGCAGGGGGTATTAATGTATTATGCCCACAAGAAAGAATTTTATTCAGTCCCCAGATTGCTAATATTTTACTAACTTAAAATTTCACTTGAGTATTTATAGACCCTCTCCCTGTGAAAATGGAAAACCGCAATATTCAAGCCCCATAGCTTGAATGGGGGGAGTGTACTCATGGGCGCGTGCCCCATTTTATCCCCCTCCATTTGCCACCCGTGAATGGGCGAGGGACACAGACTTGAAGTCTGTGAAAATGGAGGGACAATTATATAGCAGATATAAGAGTTCAAGGTATGAATCATTTTCTCAGTTTGGAGAGTAAAAGAAAATTTGACAAGGAGCAGAATTCTTATTAGTAATAACAATAGCAAGTACATTTCTATACTGCTTATCAGTGTACATAAACAGTCCCTACGCAGTTACAATGTATAAGCCAATTGCCCACAACAAGCTGGGTACTCATTTTAGCAACCTTGGAAGGAGGCAAGGCTGAGTTGAACCAGAGCCCCTGGCTGGTACTGAACTCACAACCTTGTGGTTTGTGATTGAGTGACTGCAGTACAAGCATTTAACCACTGCACTACCAGGGCTATTATTAGGGGGGCAATGCCCTCATTCCCATCTCAAAGCTAACCCCTGTTAATTATGTTCTTAAACTGACACTGGTGCAGGCATAGGAAATATGTAGGGTCCTCCTTAATTGATTGTCCATGCAGTATACCCAGCTCCTTCTTCCAAGCAAGTCATTGGACTAGTGGTTAATCCTCTGACACAGAGTGGAAAGGCAGTTGTCTCTATGGTTCAGGTCAGATCATATTAGTGCTTTACCTGTCTGCTTCTCTTTCCTCCTGCTGCTGTGCAGTGGGGTGGAGGAGGAACCTAACAATTAAACATCGAAGGTAGCACCTACTAATCTTTGCAAAGATATGTGGCAACTGGCTATACAGGTTGTATCAAAAATATTTCCTTGTTGACACAAGGATAATGTTATGGCTTGCAGCACTGAGGGCAAGGAATGCTTTACACCCATCTTGCATGTGGATTGGCTGCAACATCAAATACATATTTGGTGTTTAGAAATGGATCATGAAGCCACTGATTGTATGGTTACTGGTACTTGGAATTTCTCACAAATAGAGGTTGTCCTCTTCACAAAGTAGAAGTGGCAATGAAGTGGGACAGGGATAGCATGCTCTCCTTCTTTCATCCAAAATGTCTGAGTAGGGCTGTTATCATGTCATCAAATTACTGCTTGAACCCACATTGTTTCCCTAAAATCCCTTGCATCATTTCCCTTCCTGGGAGTAACCCCAAGACAGACAGGCAGACACCTTTATACTCAGGGAAAAGATATGTAGAGAATACCTATGGAACTGGGAGCCAAAACAAAGGCTGGATAAATCAACGTTTTCAGCTCCAAGCATTAAAAGTGTTTGTCTGACTATTATTTTAATCATGTTTTGTTTTCTACAGTGTCTGAAAATGGTGCCTGCCTGTCTCCCTCCCACCCAAGATGGTGGACACTGGGCATCCGAAAAGATGGTAAATATTAATCTGATCACAAACTTAATCATCAGGCTTCAATTCTAGAACTGTGGCATGACAATTACCGGTAATCCTATTTAGACTCCACATCTAGAATTTCTGGACTGAAAGCCCTTAACAAGTGAACAGTTTGCTTCTTAACAATTAATCTCTGAATGAGCTCCTAATGCAGAAGAGGTTTGCTGACTCAAAATTTTTCAAATCTAAATGTGTATAATGCATTGGGAAGGCTTATATATATTATTTATGTTGAATGCAGTTGGTAACAATGCCAGCTGCTATAAAAACTATGTTAATAATCAGATTACTTACACTCCAAAACCTTTGGAGTATGCAGTTTTGACTGTACAAGAAGTTTTGAAAATTACAATGAATCACATCTTTGAGTTGATCCTATGGCATATCTTTTCTTTTCTTACTCCAGATGAATTCTTCCATTTTGTCATTCTCTGTTTTGCTGTTGGAACCTTATTAGTTTGCTATTACAAATATAACAGTAAGTAAAAATTGGAATGTATTGATTTGATTTGAACCCAGAGAGAACAAACATTAATATATACATTATTATATTTTTAGATTGGATAGTTTCCCTTGGTATTGGCTTGATGACCTTTGCAGGCTTAGAAACAACTGGAATATATTTTGGTCTTGGTAAGTGCTTTGTCCTCTTGGAGGTCTCTCATTCATAAAGTTGCAAAAAGTGAAATCTATCTTGACAGCAAATAACAACAAATGTGTTTTGTGTATATTTTAGAGAACTTGTTTTAGATAGCAAATAAGTTTCTTTTTTCTTAGATGTAAGGTCTCAGATTTTATAGGACAACCTACATGGATCTGCTCCAAAGTAACTCCCATTATTCACAGATCCTGAATAAAGGAGGTATATAAACAAAACAAAAATAAGACTGAAGTCCTTGCTCATTTCCTTTCTATTTATGGGATTGTGTACATAAACATCTATCTATTATTGTCCAATAGTGTACCGCATTCGAAGCATCTTGGAAGGGTTTATTCCTCTGCTTCAGAGAATCAGAACACCAGGTATGCTTCCCTCCTCATAGTAATAGCAATAGCATTCACATTTCCATACCACTTATCAGTGAACTCAACACTCTCTAAGTCAGAGGTAGGCAATCTAAGACCCAGGGGCCAGATTCGGCCCCCCGAGGCCTTTGGACTGGCCCGAGGCCGGTCCTGCCGCCGCGGCCGTCACTGCCACCACCCCCGCCACCCCCCACCACCACTGCCACCCTCCATGATGATATTGATTATTGTTGTTATTACTTGTTCTTGGGATTTTCTTGGCAAAATCTCCACAGGGGTTTTGCCATGGCTTTTCTGTGGCTGACAGAGTGTGCATGCATATTTTAAAAAAAATTTTAAATTATTCATTCATTCATTTATTTATTTTTGGTGCTTCAGCCCCCACAATTGTCTGAGGGACAGCAACCCGGCCCCCAGCTCAAAAAGGTTGCCTACCCCTGCTCTAAGTGGTTTACAATCTGTAAGCCAATTGCCCCCAACACTGGGTACTCATTTTGCCAACCTATGAAATGATGGAAGGCTGAGTCAACCTTGGGACCTTGGGATCTAACTCACAACCTTGTGGCTACAGTACCAGCATTTAACCACTGAGCCACCAGGGCTTCTAGTAAGCTGGGTGACTTTATAATTTTTATTACAGCTGTTCTATTACATCCATAATAGTTGATTTAGCTGTCGCTCTACAATTAATTTTATTCAAACGCTCAGTCTCACCCTGAAAAGATGAATCTAGAACAGAGACAGAAACCAATGTGACATCTATGATCTTGGGAGCTGCATATCAAATCCAAGGTCACACCCAGTGCTTGTGCCAGAATTAGAATAACTAGTCCCAAATAAACAAGTCACATATAATCATTTCCTTTTTTAAAAAAAAATAGCTAATATATAAGCAAAAAACATTACAGCAGAGATCCTGCATCTTCAGTGTAACTACGGGCCTCTACAGATCAGCACAAAGGGCCAGCCTGGAGGCAGAAATGGGGAGGGGCAGCCGCATGCCGGTCGCCCCAACCCCAACTCCAGCCTGATGATGTCCTGACGCCACACACCATTGTGCACAGTGCACAACGTCAGGACATCCTCCCGGAGCAGCATTTTTATGTGCTGCGCCAGAAGGAGCGCTAAAGAGCCATGCGCCGGCTCTTGGGACCCCCTTTTGCTGCCCCTGAAAGGAGCAGCATTTTGCCGCTCCCTTGAGGGGAGGCAAAAGGGAGGATTGGGGCCACAGCACACAGTTGCTGCAGCCTCAATCTGCGGCTAGCAGGGGCAGCCCAGTGCCGCCCCTCTGCATAGCCCCTACGACAGTGCTTTGTCATTGCAGTTACATCTGATGATGACATCCCTAAAACTCTACCTTTGAAGCCTGGCAGCATCCTAGCCAAAGTGCTGGAGATTGGAACACTGGCAAATGTTATCTGCAGCACTCTCCCAATCATGGAGTGCATGGCAGTTTGAGAGATCCCACAGCATCTTGTCACAACTGCTTATCTCAATGCTCCCCACAATAGGATAGTGAGCTGCAAGTGTAATTCCCCATCACCTTGGAAATGCTTCATCTAGAGCATTGCCAGGCTGCAAAGATAGAGTTGGGGGATTACATCTGGTAAGAACCCAAAGCATAAATCCCCAGCAGTTACAAGATTTCAAGTGCATCTTGTGATCTCTTAATCACTGAACAGGATGCCAGACTACAATTCTAACATAACAACCTGAATCCTGCTGACTCATTTCTGAAATCTGCATTTCCAGGGAATATCTAAATTCTGCACGGCCATTTTTGCTGCTGCTCCTCAAACATAGATTAATATGTATTTAATAGGTTTTTGAAAATGATCTGTTTTTTTCTCTTTATTACATTGTGTAGGTTTCAGAAAGGTTAACTAATGGAAGACTTCAAGGCAGCCTTATAAAGCCTGTGG